TACTAAGCGGCACAGGCTTTAATCGGAAGCAGGCAGAGTGTTCCCAGTATCTGTGTCAGGAGCTGCGACGTGCTGAGTATTTTTAACTGGGGCTCAGAAGTCATCTTTGCACCACTGAGAGAGCCGTGCCCTTGGCCCCGGTTTGCATAAAGAACATTTACTGCGGAGTCCAACGAGAAGCGAGCCCAAGCGCGCGGGGGGAGGCTGGCGGCCGTGCCAACCACAGCAGTTTCGCTGTCTCTAGCGCAGCTCTGTTACGGTGCCCACCGAGGGAGCGCGCCTGGGCTCCGCCGTCAGACCCGCAGGGCACAGCGGGGAGCGGAGTGGGCTCTGCGGGCGCAGCAGCTCCGGCGAGCGCTGCCCCGCACGCGGCGTTCCCACAGGGGTACGGGCGCAGAGGAAGGATACACCAGGTAAGTGCAGGTGATCATCGCTCGCTGGCGAACCGGCGTCCGCATGGCCTCCAGTGGTTCTGCTTTTATGAACTCCTGGAAGGCAGAGCGAGGTGATGGTTACGGTCACATCCAGCCCCGTCCCACCCTGGGCACAGGCCAAGCTCTGGGGTGACCGCTGCCTCGAAGCCCGGCCTCCCCAAGAGAGCAAGCCAGGAGCCACACCGCGTCACCCCGACACCCCAAACGCTGCACAACCACCCCATGCCTTGGGCGACACGGCCATGGACGCAGCACGGAAAGAAATTCCCGCCTGCGAGAGTGGTGGGACACTGGCACAGGTTGCCCCGAGAAGCTGTGGCTGCCCCATCCCTGGAGGTGTTCAAGGCCAGGTTGGACAGGGCTTGGAGCAACCTGGGCTGGGGGGAGGTGTCCCTGCCCAGGGCAGCGGGAGGACTTTCAGGCCTTTAAGGTCTTTTCCCACCCAAACCATTCTATGATTCTAAGCTTGCTGTTGCAACAAGCCATCCTCCCAGCGCTCAGCTCCCTGCTGGGACCCGGCGTGTGCCCTCTCGAGGGCAGGCAGAGCCCAGAGCGCAGGTCTGCAGTCAGTGGAGGTCAGCGCCCTGCCCCAGCAGAGCCCGGCAGACACGCGGGGACGGGGCAAACTCACCCCCCCTGCCCACACGGCACCCAGACCGCAGCTCCAGAGGCAGAGCAGCTGCCCCTGCGCTTAACCCTCTGCAACGTGGGATGGGAACCTCCTCCGGTGTCCTCCAGACCAGCCCCAGGCCAGGCCACCCTCCAGGGCTGGCTCTTACCACCATCTGGGCCACCAGCTCAGCTTTGCGGGAGAAGATGAAGTCTCCACACTTCACACCGTTGCAGATGGCTTGGCTGATCATGCAGATGGTGCGGATGAGGCACAGCTTCAGGGTCAGGTCCTGAGAGCAGAACTCAGGGTGAGAAGTGAAGACACAACCGTAACTCATCATTCCCACCCAGCACTGGCGTCCCTCCAACAAAACTGGTGCTCAAGCCGAGCACGACAGCTTGGCCTGTGCTGTTAGTAGCGTGTGGGCTCAGCTCTCTGCTCTTTATCCATGTTACAGGCTCTCTGGTGATCAGGGGCGCATGAAGGGCACCCTGTCCCAGCTGGAGGTCCCTGGGATGAGGACAGTCCTCCAGGTCTCCATCCTCCCCGCCCAGGCAGTGCCCTGAGCACACAGATGCTTGAGGCAACTCCAGAAGTTGGCAGGAGCTATTCCTCCTGTGCAGCTCAGGGTCTGGGACAGCGGACATGGGGTCGAGAGGAGGCACCCCAATTAAAAGCGCTCCCGTCGCCCTCAGGTGAGCCCCTCAGGAGGGTCGGGGACCGGGGGAGGGTCTGAGCGAGAAGGTCCCCAGCTCGGGGGCCAGAGATGCTCTGCAGAAGCGGTTAGTGCCAGCGGGAGCCCAGAAGGAAAACGCATTAGTGGAGCCCGGAGAAGGAATCCTTGGCCTGACAGTTCAACTTGACAAATGTCATTTTTCTTGTTCAGCCTTTAAAAAGAGAAATATAAAAATACAGCCCCTCGTTGCCCCCAGGACAGTAATCTGGGTTTTAACATGTGCCCGTTGAATGATTGTTCCAGAGGGAAGCAGGAAGATTAGTTTAGTGGATTTTGGCCGAGTGGTGGGTTGCAGCTCGGTGTCTGGGGTCCCCAAGCTTCCCCAGCGAAGCATGTGTACAGGGAGGCGAGCGCTGCGCCGTACCCCAGCCCCGGAGCGGCTGCGGGGAGGGCCCCCCAGCCCTCGTCTTGCCACGAGCGCAAACCCAAACTGGGGCGCTCCCTCCTGGGGACGGCTCTGCGAGCTCCAGCCACGCAGAGCTCGCAGGAAAGGCAGAGCCTCAGCAGAAGGGGTGGAAGGCAACAGGCTCAGGTCTGCCCGCGGGCAGTGAGCTCGGCCACGGGCACCCGCTGGAGGCCAGCGCAGCCTTCGCTAGCTCAGCATCCCACCACGGTGGTGCCCACCCAAGCCATGCTTTCGTCTACGGTCCTGTCCTGACAAAAAAGCCTTTTTCTCTTCCCCTCTGCTGTCAGTTTTGGCACTTTTAGGTTCCAGCACGGAGGAGTGAGCTGGGGAGCTCAGGCGAGGAGCAGCAGCAGCTCCCGCGGCTCTCCCGGTCCCCACGGGCAGAGGAGCGCTGCTACGAGCACAGCACCGGGCTGCTCTCGAGGGGAACCCAGAGCAAGAGGCAGAGAGAAACAGCAGGAAAGAGCAGAGAGTAGTTCAGATTTAACGCCTCACACTGTACCTTGGTTTCTACCTTTATTCCCAGAACCTGAACGAGTGAAAAAACAAAACACGTTAGCAACGCACGAGTGAGCAGACCCCGTGGCGAGTGACCTTCTCCCAGGGGCTGCTGGTGGGCCCCAGCGGGACCCTTCGGGCAGAGCATCCAGAAGAGCCTGGCTGCTCCGGCTCGCCCGCGTGCGCTGGGGAGGACGGGGCGCCCCAGCGGCTTACCTTGGTGTTAAAGTACTGGAAGATGTTCTTCAGGATGTCTGCTTCAATCCTGGAGAGCACCAGCTCCTTCGGCGCGTACACAGCCACGTATCCATAGCAGAGGATGAGAGTGCTCTTTATTTTCTCCACTTCGTTGTCACTACGGTCCTGTTAGAGCAGATGAGAACGTTAATGGGGGGGACGGTGGGGAAGACGGGGCTGGCTCTTCCCAAGTCCCACGAGGAGGTGGCTTCTGCAGGGTCTGCCCCACCAGCTGAAGGTGCCCCCTCGAAGACAGGGCCCCTCTGAGGGGGATTGGGACCTTTGCTTCCCATCCGTTTGGTGGTGGCTGCGACCCCCAGAGCCCTCACAGAGCCTGAGGCGTCCCAGCGTGAGCTGCACTGCCAGCACAAGCCCCAGATCGCCCCTGACTGTTACCTGTTAGAGCCCCGCGGGGAAGCACGTGAGCCTGGCCAAGTTAACCAGGTTAACTGCCGGTTAACTACCACGCTAGGAATCAGCATCCGCTGCCCATTAACTGCTGCTGAAAGGCTTCGTCCGCACCGTCCCAGGGAGCAGCTCGTGGCTGATCCCCCTCGTACCGCGGCCCGAGGGGCAGGAACAAGGACAAGGGCTGCAGGAGGGCTCCCCCGGCCACCTCCCGAGCTCCGGGCACCTTTCTGTTGTGGGCCGAGCTCTCTCCCATGCCCACGCAGCGCTAAACCTGTCCCCCAAACAGCCAGGCTTAAGAGACCGGGAATTAAAGCGGCCACCTGGGTCAGAAAATTGGAGGAAAGGCTTTTGCCACCGATGCTCGTGGCACAAAACACCCCGACTCCGGGGGCTGCGGGAGCCGCTCGGGGATCGCTGTCGAGCCCCAACGTGGGTGAGAGCCAAACCGTGCTCTGCATCAGGCCGGGTTTCCCCGACGGACACAGGAGCCGAGTTACAGCTTCCCCGAGCCCACCCAGCAAGCAAGCAGCTTCCCCGGGACGGGAGTCCGCAGGAGCGCAGGGCTGAGAGCTGGCAGCTCACGCCGAGCAGCCTCCGGCGCCGAGAGGGTATCCCAGCCCCAAGCCAAACGCACCGAGGCAGGAAATTAACTCCTTTCCCGAGGACCGCTCCAGCGCACGCCTTATCCGAAGGAGCCTGCGTGAGCCCGTTGCTGCCGGCTGGGTCGCCGCGGGGGCCCTTCGGCTCTTACCTTGAAGATACTGAACAGTCCCACGGATTTCTTGAAGACATCAGACCTAACAAAATCTTCCAGCTTGGCCAGGGTTTCCTCCAGGTGATTTATTGCACATATCCCAAAGCAGGAAGCAAGCCCCTGGAGGAAGCAGAGAAAACACATTAGCGGAAAGCTATTAATTCACCGGCCCCAGCTGACACCTAAAGAGAGCCTGTTTATTGGTTTGGTTGCCGGCACCTGAGCCGTGCCCAGCTGGGAGCAGCCCTGGCAGCCGCCGCTCCCCTCTCCCAGGGCAGGCACGTGCCTCCCGGGGACAGCGGGCACAATAACGCCGTCCTCGCCGGGACGTGACACGAGAGGAGCAGGCACGGCGCGCTCTCCAGC